AAGGTTAAAAAGCAAGAGCTTAACAACTATAGTTGAGAAAGAGCTTTAAAAGCCTTATGTGTAATTAAAATCATTAATTATTTACTATATTATGTTAATATAGTAATATTAATTTTTTGATATACAATCATGACTCATCAATGTAAACACATAATAAATGAAACTGCTAATCAAAAAAAAGAAGAAGGAATAGAAGGTGTGATTATTACTACAGCACACGCTTCAGATGATATGCACAACTGCGTAAAACGTGCAAATTATTCTACTCTTACTAAGCACATTTGTCAACCTGGTTGGTTTATAAAGGACCTATTGGAGGAATTTTTTCCTGAATTAATACACAATGAAAACATCATGCATTATACTAACCCAAACCCTGTTAAGGAATACTATGCAGCAAATTTTGCTATAACATTTGAATGTAAGGAAGATGCAAAGTGTGGAAATGCAATAGATTATACAAACTTTTTACCTAGCGGTATATGGTGTAGTGGAAAAGGTAAAACGAATACTAGCGGTAAGGGTTATCCTTACAATGAGCTCTCTGCTGATAATAACAATAAAAGTGCATGTTATCACAGTAAAGATTTTAATAAAAATGCACTTCATAACAAAAATTTCTTCTGGAATACAACGTGTCCTAATCTAGTATTAGATCGTAGCGTAGAAGAGCTAAAAGAATGTGCAGGTAAAACTATAGTTGCAAAATTGGTATCACCTTTAATAATTGTTGATAAGAGTAATATGATAATAGATAAAGATGGCAACAATACTAAAATACCCTATCTTCACTTAGAGCACTTCTTAACTTTTGACGGTAAGCTTAAAGATGATCCTAAAAACAACTGTGCAATTTATAAGAACCTCACTAAGAAACCCACTGAATTAATTGAATTAAAAGATAAAGTTTTATGGACTTCCGACAAAGAAGTAAAGTTGATAATTCCTGACACTGGTAATATGAGATGTTTAGGTTCTCCTAGTAAAAGTGAGAGCGTAATTCAAAAGAGTGATGAGATAACTACTGATAACGAAGAGCTCCCTAGCTATAACTACAGTAATGATTATGTGCTATAATTTTCTTGAATGTACGCTCAAGAAAAGGTTTATTGCTACAATTTTCATGATACAAAAATAAGCTTAGGTATTTTAACTTTTTTATAAGGTTTGATACCTACTCTCTTTCCTTTCAGCTATA